ATAGCGACGACATGTTCGAAATGAGGTATCTTGTCATATGTAAGCGAAATTTATCCTTATCCTAACACTGACACTAGCATGCCGACCTATCTGAACTATCGACTTTGAATTATTGTGCTCTTAAAATATCCTCAGACCCATTGCTCACTTCGGGTAGCACGGTCGCCTGTTTACTGCATTCATGATCACATACAATCCTCGGTTGGTCATAAGACCGTTCCCATACTTTTTCATCTTTGATTTATAGCTTTTTGAAGAAACTTTGATCCTTTTCTGATGCTCACGTGACCATCGTTTGTCCCCACGATAGCTTCAACAGTACTGCATACTTCTTCCCTCCTTACACCAACGTGGATAAGGAGAAAATTAGAACCAAATGCTTATTTTATAGCTCGAAGAGGTCCAGGATCAGTATTTCAAAAAATGGTGACCGATTGCCACGATAAACGCGAAAATACGAATGGCTTTAATCGTATCTCTATGGCATCGTGAAGATAATACACTGCATCCTGGTTCCCCCTTTTATTCGCCATAAACGTGCTCACCGATGCACTCACTCAACGTCAATTTAGTGGGCGATCGTAATATACCTGTCCTTTGGTTTGTTTCACTCAACCGGTTGTTTCAATAACTTGAAACTTCACGAGCCCAGACGAAAGAGTCCATTAGAGTTCATAATTCCCAATGAACTGTGACAGGCACAGTTGATTGTAGAACTCAATCAATCACTTCAGTTAGGTAATTTTGACAAGGATTCGTCAGTCGAGTTTTCGTAAGATTCAGTTACTGTCTATGAATAAATGATCAAACAATGGGATGAATTGTCCAAGCTAATCGCGTATGGATGACACAAAAGAAAGTTGTGTGGGTAATTTTTCGCATAATGTATTTAATTTGACCAAGAGCAGGACTTGGTGCAATGATCAGTATCGTCCAAGTTTGATAGTCAAAACTGGTTGTTGTTTAAGTGAAATTCCAATACATTACCCATCCAGCAGCATTTGTATCGTCTAAAATAGTTCTTTTTCTCCCCCGATTACGTAACTGCTGAACAGTGTGTAGTTTCCAACCCAAATTGTTTTCATCTTCCGACACAGTACCACTTTCCTTATTTTTGTGTATGGATCAATAAATCGAACGCAATGTCAATCGATCTGAGTTTTTTTTCCATCACATTCAAATTTCGATCGGTACATGCATGCACGCCCCGGCAACGATGCACACAAGCACAACTAGGTGTGGTTTGGGATGAACGGAGAGGAGGAAAGTTTTGGTAAGTGGATAGAACGGTCGCCACTCATCATCTTTGGGTCAACCGGTAAGACAAAGGAAGGCAGCAAAAGTATATATGCGTGTTGAAGATAGAATACAGTTCAGCATGGAAGGCAATTCCACGCGCAGTACGCAAATTCTCTCCAGGATGGGAGATTGTTGTCGGTTCTGCGATCTTGGGATAGAATAGACCGCAATAGATTAAGTAATTTGAGAGTGTGTGTGTGTGGGGGGGAGTTGAGAGGACAAAAATTGAAAACCTGTACTGTGGATGCTCTGATGCGGATTGGGCCACAGGTGCAAGCGCGTACAGTTCACAAAGGCCTTAATTATTCCGTACTATTATTTGTCCGTATTTCTTTCACCAAGAAGTGCTGCACCACTTTCGATCCAATGAGACGTAGAGTTTGAAGTTTCCAGAGGTACAGCAATGATGAAGTTTGTGGACATTCCTAAAATATGGATAGGCGAAGGTGATGATGATCAGTTTGGAATCACGGTTCAAATAAAATCAAACAATTTGAAACACTTTTGTTAAGAAGATTCCCAGTAGTTGAACACATTTGGATAAATAAAAAATCGTAACTCAAAATCAGACTCATATATATATCGATATTTACAGGTACATTTTCAAAATAACCACGGGTTTTAAAGACTAATAAACGATAAATAATCTTGAGGGGCTATCATGATAGGCACTCTAAACACTGAATAGCTTCATTTTTTAAAACCATTAACCATGCACTGGCGGAGAACGGTTTCCGTTTCTGTCTTTGGTTTCCTATTTGGATAAAAGAGCAGAAGAAAGATTCAAATGTTCAGAGCAGACTCAAAGCGAAAATAGAGGATGCATATAGACTTGGGTTGTTGGAATATTGACTAGATGCAAGAGCGCCTTTGTTTGTGACACTCAGCCATATTACTCAGTGTGTCTAACCACCGGTGACCATAGTCTCGGGGTCCCCAACCAGGGAGCCTAAACAGACCTATGTGACCCTGGTTAGGATTTCCAAACCAGGTCTTAGTTTGAGTGTTCCTGACCTTTTTCCATCCGCTGTTTACCTCAGCAAGCACTGAATCGTATTCATGTCACTGCCAAATCCAGTAGAACCATTAGCCAGCGACAATCTGAATTTCAGAAAGCACAGTCTTATAAGTGAAATGTTAAAACGAAAGCCAGATCAGGATTCGCTTTCTTCATCAATCTACACCAACTTATGACTTAATCATCTTACACTGACTTTTAATCTGATCTAATGACTGGAAAATGAGCGCGGTAGGATTAACGTTGTCTAAACATTTGTTGACCTTGCCCCAACCACCCCATACGATGCCTTGAAATTATATTGTTTAAAGAATATCAGTTAATTGGTAACTGGTGATCAGAGACATTGAGTGATACAACTGAGTGTCCTAAACAATGGTGCTAGCGCATCTACTCATTATTCTCATAACTCCAGTCTATATGAGTTCTCCATTTTCGTTTTGATTTCACCCTCAACATTTCGACCTTTCTTCCAATCTTCTATCCAAATTGGCAGCAAAAGGACAGAGACCAACATCGGTGCACCAAATTGCATGATTAATGCTTGTAACAACTGAAATTAGAAGTGAAAATTCAGTAGTTGGTGAGACTGATCTGAAGATCCAAAACCGGGAATTTTAACATGACCTACCAATACACCGATCGGGTACTTCATACTATGGCTAATAAAAGTCACGGAGCCTCGAAGCATAACCGCTCACCCGTGTACCATATACTCGTCGCCACTGCAATCTTTGTAGGTGAAGCAAGCACTTGCATGAGTAATTAAGTGACTGCACTACTGCAATTATGCACTAGATTTCATCTACTGTGAACTTTGACTGTCCGACCGTCCCACTAGATTCGATGCTACGTAGACAGCGGTGCTCGAATGCTTATCGTTCGAGTTTCTGTATAATTTTGATGATCGTAGGTTGGTGTATGATATACATATATATTTCACGAGAGAATGGAGGCATACACTGAGTTATATATATATATATATATATATATATATATATATTCATTTCACGCTCAGCTCACTTGATGCACAACGAAATCCGCCATGCAGTCGAATTAAATGCGGTTCTTCCCTCGTAAATCTTTGTTTTGTGATTTGTTTTCATAATTCCCCTACTCATGATTAGTAAAACAATTTTAGTATCAACTGAAACATAAGTAATGAACTTAGTAGTACCTGTTTGTGAATTATATACGATTGAATAAATCTCCATCGCATATTCCCAGAATCATGAAAGGAAATTTATATGCTCGTGCCATTGAAATGTTCGTAGATTTCCTAATATATCACATTCACTCAGTGTGAGGAAAACACCCATCAGCAAACAAGTTTACTTTTGATTATTTCTGCCCACTTTTCATGTCATCGTTTCCTATAGATAAATTCGTTGTCATGCGGCTTAATGCCACATCTATCCTAGTTGTGAATTTACATTTCATGTATTTCTCACACATTTGTGACCAGACTGTGTGCCAAACAAATCACGGTAGAATAATTTTAATAAAATGAAAACGCTCCGTGATTTTTTGTGGGCTGAATACTGCCAGGTTGTCCAGGCCAATGCAGGTGACTTTTCTTGAGGACTCCACAATCGGAGCCTTTGGCTAGCCAAACCCTGACTCGCAAGACAGCGAGGCGGTGTGCGAAAACCACAAACCAATGGGGGACCTGTATCCAGTTCATCAGACCATACGCCCTTCGAACGGGGTCAAACCTCCAAGGTGCTCAATAAATCTCGATACCCAATTCAGCCGGTGACCACTGCCACGACCAAGAAGGTGTGTGTGGCTTATGGGCCTCTTCTTGGTTGGTTTGAATTTAGGGTTTTTAGCAACCTCCCGTAGGTGAACTACCAGTGGTTCACCAACCCGATTATAGCCTTGGATGTTGGCTTTTCGTACTCCCCTAGTTGGGCCCTGTAAAATTTCAGAGCTGTTTACAGATTACGTTCCACGGAAAACTATGGGACTGGCTTTCCAGCCAATGTGCTTGTTACCCATAGGACCGTACGTAATCCGGAATGAACCGACGCTTTTATAAACAAGTATGTGTATTCCATGAATAAGTCTCCGTTTGGATACGAAGATTTAAACAGTACGCTTCCAGACATTTGGCTCTGAGACCACACAACCCCTACTGCACTTCACCTCGAGCATTCACGTTACGTCAGTTCTGACAAAATGGATCGGTTTTCTAACATCCACGTTCAAATGCAAATCAATAGACCTGGGCCATGGACACAACAACAAAAAGAAACAAAACAATCAATGTCTCAATCAGAGAAACTTCAATAGAACCGTTCTGTTTCTCAAATTTCACGGATTCTATTGAGCAAATAGTATTCACAGTTTAGACCTGCTACTTGCCATAACAAAAATGGGAACGTGTGCAATATGTACAAACCAAAATGAAGTTAACTCCGGTCAACTTGAAGCCGAAAATATGGATCAGAGTGGAGAGTATGAAAACCAGTTCCTGGTTTAAAACTCACAACAACAAATGTGATACAGTGATCAACTGGGGAGCAAAACGCGGTCACATTATCACATGTATCAACAGAGTTCGTTTTGGATTCCACTATCGCTCGTTGCACACGGATGGACAGACAGTGGGGAAAACAATTCAACAGAAAAACGTGTCTGAGCTCACTGACCCCGAGTCGCTATATCCGAAGCTACTCGGTTAGTCATCACGCATGGAGAGCAAAGCGGCACCTTTCTCAATCCAATAGTCCGAGGTCATTGAATGCGGTAAACCGATTTCCACAATGAAATTAGTGGAATGACCTATGATCAGTCATATGGACAGAATCAGACAAACATGAGTTTGAGGACTGTGGCAAATAATGACGCAAAAAACGAACAATGAACAGATATTTATCGTCTTTTGTTCGACTCATTCAAGAATGAGTGATATTATACTAAGCTGGCCTGAGGAGATGAGGAATTCATTTGGAGGTTCTCTCTACTCATTGTTTGCGCGAAATTTGGGTATTCTTTATCAAGTGAGTCTTATGCTTGTACTTCCAATATGAGCTTAGCCATGAGTGGAAAGAGAAACCGCATCGAATGCATTTTCAGGGGAATTGCTGNAATGAAAAATCGATTTTAAATAGAGCTAGAAGGGGTTTTGGAACATTGAATTGGTTTTTCTGGAATTTATTGGGATGAAAATGAAGATCTGCCGGTGAAGCTTTGATCCTCACAACTGCGTTCACCAGAACAAATAACCAGTAGTAAATTTCTAAGGGATAGCCCAGATTGCTTATGTGGTTGTTTAGTTCAGTTTGGATCGCAGTAGACCCAGAAATATCCACAGATGATAATTCTTCAAATAGATTAGAACAGCTGTAAATTACTTTCAAGGCAAGTGGTGCGTAACGCACACTCTGCTTGACAAATATAGTAAAAACATGTGTCCGGTTTGGGAATAAGTGTTTTGTCAAAGTAACAACAATAATGGTGGAAAAGGATAAGACTGAGGTATAGAAGCGAATGACGCACGAAATAGACAACTATAGAGAACAATAAAAAAGAGAAAAGTGATGTCCACTGTTTGTTTCATCTCACATCTGATATCTTTTTCTGTGAGTTTATCGTTTTTCTTATGAAGCATGGGATTTCAACAGGCAGACTGTACAGCATTCATGCCACTGAATTCTGTTTGAAGCCATATTTCTCAGTGTCTCTGACAAAAGAAAATACTCATCACTTGGACCCCAACCTGGAAGGTGGGCTGCACCAACCGAAACCAAAGCTGAAGTTAGCTTCTTCATACTTCTACACCACATTATGGTCTGACCTTCGTGGCGCTTCTTCCAGCCCTGTGCAACATGTGGAAAGAGAGCACGGAGAGGTAGACGATGGGCAGGCATACGTAAAACTAGACAGAGCCATCGGAGGCGGTGTAGAGCGATTACTCCTGTTAGAGAACAACTATTAGTATCCAACACCTATGCAGAACCTTAAGGGAATACCTACACGTCCACGTACGCACAGGCAGCGCAGTCTCAGAGAATTGTATACCTGTTCGAACGCACGACGAACTCCGTCATTGCTCATATGATATTACCATCAGATAAAAGTAGTGCTTCGAATACAGACAACCGATTAGCATCCTCAGTGCAGAGGGACCAAGTTTTGCAACTGCAAAACTGAACACTACGAAATGCGGCAATGTTCACCCTTTCTTTGAGGGATAATAGGATGTCAGGGCGGCACCACAGGTGCCGCAGCGATATCCCAATACTCTTCGCCCCTCCTTGGCAATAATTGTCCACCTATCCCAAGTATGATGGTAGCTTCGATATCTGATTATCCGTAATGAGGCCAGTGTACACTATCGCAGGTCAGACGGTTCTACTGAATGTGGTAGAGATTATTATCTAACTCTAATAGCAGAGATTGCATGCAATCAATCTGAGTAACGTATGGGGACTCACAACTCGGCTTGTTTGAGTTTGAGTTATCACAAAGTTAGTGACCATGTATCGGTAAGATGAAATGTGCAGTGAGTTCTATACTTTCCAGGGTCACGTATGAAATGTTATCACTACATTGTGAATAAAATTCCCAGTTACGTAATCAGCTACCTCCAAACGTCCACATGCACAGCTTGGAACTGCATAATACATTCACTCCTAAACTGTACAATTACTTATACACTAATCCCGAAGCCTTCCCAGTTCGGGCTGAGTATCTGTTCCCCGGATCTACAGTGTTATCGGATAAATGAAATATCCTGTCAAATGGAGGGAAAGCTGAAAATCATTAGGTATACTTATGTGCATTTTGTTTGCTGTCAGTACTGATATGACGAAAAGATATTTTTACCTATTGTTATATATATATATATATATAGCTTTTTTCAAACAGCAAATAAAACATGGGACCAGAAAGCTCACCAGTTGTAGAAAGGACACCCGCGCGAGCCGAGGTTTTGTAAAGCGGTGCGATATATTTTTTCGGATCCGGTACATAGTCCATTTCCGGTTTCATGTGCAGCATCGGCATGGGTGACAACATTTCACCCAGGATTGAATCGGCCAATTCCATCGTTTCATCATTCCAGCTGTGAGGCAATCGAGACAGGATCCACGTGTGAAGGTGCGTATGTATGTATGCGTGCGTGCGTTGGTTTATGGAATTTCCGTAATTAGAAACCGGAATACATTTTTTACTAGAACAAACATGGATTTTGTTTACACGAATAACTTCGCAATTGCTTTCCAGGCTGATTAACTGATGGAAAGCAATCACAATTTGCCCATGGGGTTTGCATATTGAAATGTAATTCGATACACGTGTAGAAACGTTTGTTTCTCCATGATATCATACTTTTTCGTAAGCCGGTGATAAATTATATATATATATATATATATATATATATATATATATATATATATATATATATATATATATATATNATAGGGCGGGAAGCCATAAGGGTTCTTGGGATTACACAAAGCAAAGCGACACTCTCAAAACAACTAAGCCATGTGCTCGAGGATGCACCGATACCTCTTCCGCAGATAAGCACAACTTGTAGTACCCCAGAATTATGATGTACATACCGATGCATTTCACGAAAAATGGTTTTACTGTTATCGCAGAGATCGCTTGTCGGAATAAAAGTCACCACATTCACAATCATCCCCGAAACTGCGTATTATCCGGTTGCAACCGCACGGATTAGTCTCGATACTGTAATCCAGAATGATCCTCTTCAGATTATGTTTCTCTTTCAGGTAGCGATTAACAGACGAGAACATTGTAGTCGGGTTTTTTGGCAGATTGAAATTTTATGTTGTGATTGTCCGAATATACCATTATTACACTCTTTGTTTTATGTTATAATTGAGAAAATTTCAAAATCCTGTAGGGATACAGTTATATATACCAGAATCATATTTATTTATGAGAACGAGGGAGGAAATGAGAATGTAGATGCACGATGATTAGTCGACTGGATCGTTGTTGACCGTCTTGATTGGCTACCGGTTTCGACCAATCAATTGAGTTACGTCATTCTTGTGCTGATTGGTTACCCCAAAACAAAGCAGTTTTCACGAAGCAAGCTATGTCATTTGAAAACGAGGTCGGTACAGATTAAGTTCCAGCACTGGTTCGAATGGTTTATATATGCTGGAGACTCTAACCGTCAACATCCGAATTGACAGTGCAAGGGGACGTGCATACTGACTAGCCGGAGGCGTTTGTATCACCGATCTGAAAATGTATAATCATGACAAATGGTTGCGTATAACTGTTTCACAATCAACAATCTGCGCATGAGGTAATTTTCCAGATTGTCCGCTAGTGTCCCTTAACTGGTGACTCATTTTTGCACAATCAGTGACCGAAAGTGAGCCATCTATAGAAATTCATACAGGCAATCTGTTGCATTAAATCGATCTGGGAAGTCCAAGGTTTTCATAGGTCGGAACAACGAATGAGTAGAGGTCAACGTAGTATAAACCAAAAGAATTGCATAATTTCAGCGAGAATTTTCAATGAGCTATAAATAACCTACGTTGAAGTTCGTCTCACTACTTAGTTTTAGGAAGAAGCAATTAAAAAAAAATTCACAATACCCGAATTAGTTTCCCTCATTTCGATATAAAACACCCTTAAAAATGTAGCACCTCTACAAACTGGGCAGTTCTCAAGCTAACTGCAAATTTTATTAGAAAAGCGAGGCTTAAAAGTGGTACGTGATGGATCACAGTCGCATCCATTTGATAGGACAGTTTTGGTGAGTTTCAATTTCAGTTTGTAAAACCATTAATCATGCACCTTCGTGCGCCGATTTTGGTTGCTGTCTTTTGGTTGCCCATTTGGATGAGCAATAGGAGAAAGACAAGGAAGTTGAAAGTAGAGTCGAACGGTGAATTTCAGTGAAACAAGGTTGCAAAGAAATTTTAAAGATGCACGAACGCCACTGTTTACGGCACTCAATCATATCATTGTCTCTAACCAACGGTGACAATCATCCCGAGGTCCCCAGCCAGGGCGTCTAACGGGGCCAGTGTGAACTAGTCTCCTGATTAGGGTTTTCATACTCTCATGTCATGTCTTCGTTTGACCGCCCTTGACCTTTTCCAACCGCTACCTGCCTCGGTGAACATCGCTCGCCGTGGTAACCTGTTAGGTAACATGCGTTACATATACCCCACCCAAAGTAATCCATGAAGTTGATTGATTTGACTGGCTATTCCTCAGACTTCATCTTCATGCACTACCCTCAGTTCATTGATTCAACCATACACTCGGAAGCACTACACTTGAGTTTTGCTCTCATTAGAGCTCATCAGTAGTGAATATTTACCGTCCCGTCCGGGATTTGAACTACGGACCCATCGCATGGAAGGTGTATGTGTTGCCATTGTACCAACCGGTTCATGCCATGGCTGAACCAAATTGCCAATTCATGTTTGTTTAGGTATTGTCTGCAGTAATCTTCAGGTAGTTCATTTAGCCCGACGGAAACGAAGGGAACCAGATGACAACCTGTTAACCCCAATCAAAAACCTCCCACCACTTCAGGACTTCCATGCAGGTTACGGGCTGACTTGCCACATACTACAACATGTTATTAACTGAGTCATTGTTGGAGTTATTCTTGTAAATTGTGAGCTAAAGAGCCACAGTGCTTTAGACGCTACGGAATGCCAGCTGTTTTATATCTTATCAGTCTAACTTATACGCTAGCTTTTTTGATCTACTGTGCCCGTCGATCTGGTTTTACTGGCTCAGTTTCGTGTGGTCATTTGGTCGTCACTTCGTTGCTCTGTTCCCATCACTGTCACACCGTGTATCATCAAGAATCATCAAGAAAAGAAATCATTTCAGAATCACAATAGATTTGATGAGACGCTACTTACCGAGAAGCTTTTGTGAGTAAGAGCTAATCACGGAACACTACCCATAGTATATCAAGTTTTATCTATGGGCTTTACCGATAATTTAGATGGGAATAACCACTATGCATCTAAACGGTTAGATTCCGGATCCACGGAACGCAGCCGAAAACGATATTGAGAAGTCGACGGATGGACGGATAGATATGTGTAGTGAGAAAAATATTGAAGATAGACTTCGGGCTTATGAAAATGCACTTTACTGCCGAGGGGGGTAGTGGAAACATACTGGAACGGTTCAATACTACACATTGAGAAAATAGCATATGTCAAGTGTAGCATGGAATGGTTACAGATATACTGATATCAAGGATCCTTTATGTCATTCGGAGAAAACCATCAGTGAAATTCACTTCAATGTATTTCACTATAAGATGATGATGATTATTCGGAGAAAACATATTACAAAGTTTTTACTGTTTATATTTCACTCTGTCCCAGTTCCACAGGAATCAGAACATTTCAGTGTGATTGTAATTTACTTTCATCATAATTACACTACTCATGAGTAGTGACACGTGAAGAAAAAGCTTACCGGAAACCATCCATAAATAGCCCGTGCACAAGAACGCCGTCTTCCGGTTCTTCAACCGCTTTGTCCTGCTCCAAAATATGATTGAAAGGCAACTGTGCGATTGCTTTAGAAACAGCCTCCTGATCCCGATAGTGTGGCAATACGGTAAACTCAAAGGACAGATGATCAATCGGGTAATCATATTTTCGTGCATAGTTCTGCAAAGTTCCAGTCAAAAAACCTAGGGAGGCGGTATTCCAATCGTCGAACAGAGGGAAAGGAGAAGTAATAGACCAATTAAAGCATTGGTAAATTTTCCAACTGGTATCCATGATTCAATCAATGGAACAGAGAATGTGCGTTTACAGCTGAGTCCGGGTACGCGAAATTGATGGCAAATATCAGTTCTGTTCACACAAATGTCTTCTTGTGCAAATAATATTTCACATTGTGTTGTGCAATAAAACCTGAACAACTTGCCATCAGCTTTCATGGAAAAACATGAAGATTTGGATTTCCTAGACGAAATATTTTCAGCGATAAAACAACGTGATCGGAGATTTGGAGACAACAAAAGGTAATGCGAACTGAAACTGAAAAGAATGGTCGTTGTTTCCTTGATCAGAAAACTTGATGTATTGTGCATGTACAGTCGAACACAATAATGTACATGTTGCTGCTAGTAACTAACTTTCTTTTCACCTACATCAAAAAAGACGCATTCCTTGCACATTCTGATTTCACACGCGCCTTTATCAGCGTAAACATATTGACGTTCACCTCAAGCTGACATGTTTCCCTGGACATCAAGGACGACGAGACTTAGATCAGATTGTATTGATGATCGGCCACGTGTTCTGAAGCTCGAAATTCGCTAGAACTGCAAGATTTTCTTTTCATCTTTTGGAATTCGATCTGGAAAAAAATAACGACAGTGCCCAGCGTAACAGCTGAATTCTATTTACCGATTATTTCAATTCTGCTCGAGAATAAAATTGTTACATTACTTCTCAATCCATGTTGATTGTGTATCTGGGACCGTTGCGCAGTCCAAGTCACTGTTCACTTTTAGTTTTATACGAAAGCTGAGCAAAACGATTCCGGATACGCAGTGTACACGATGAGTACGAGATGCAGATGACTGGGCAAGGAGAACCTAAACTGCAATCTGATGGGAATATTGTTCAGTGATTGTGACTCACACAGAACCATATATCAACACAGCCGAGAGTATAGCTTACAAGTCATATGAGGGTCGCCGTTATATATTCGGACTGTAAGGATGAAACTCGGTCGATATCACTGGAGGGCACTGATTTTCTACGACTACAAACGTAGTTTAAAGAGGTAGCAGAGTGTTGATCATTTGGTGATGACGCAACTTCAAGAAGAATGGTTTGCGGAATTCAAGCATGGTAGGCGGTCCCTGGGTGATGAGAGACAGTGTGGTCGAACTGTGAAGGACACCACAGTAAACAGCATTGCTGCTGTGCAAGTTATGATGGAGGAAGATAGACAGATAACATTTATACAGCTGGCAATGGTCATCGGGATCAATCCGTATCATTCCATATGAGAAACTCGGCCTCAGAAAGGTTTGTGCACTCTAAGTACTCCATCAGCTGATGGAGGACCAGAAAGCCGTTCGAATAATTTGGTAGGTTTGCTAGGTTTCATGGTGGATGTCTCAATGCAGTATGGGACATCATCAGTAGTGATGAGACCTGGGGTGTACAGTTTCGATCCCGAGATCAAGCAAACAATCAGCTCAGTGGACGCCGGTTAGTGAGGAGTCGCCCCAAAAATTCCGTCGCGAGTACAGTGTGGTAAAGTAAATGGTGGCTGTATTCATGGCATTAACCGATTAGGTGGCTACTATACCGCTCATACAGTAAAACACAATCACCGGAGACTGGTACGCCACCCACTTTCTACCGAAAGTGCTAGAAGCTGTTGTCAGGCTCCGTTCAAGGACTCGAGCACGATGGAACTTGTTACACCATGACAATGCACCTGCACACAGGTCTCGTGCCGTCGGCGATTCTCGGCTAGAGAACGTATCCAGGAGGTTGGTCACTCACCCAACAGTCCAGACCTGGCTCAATGTTCCCAAATGTCAAACGCATACATGGTGGAATCCGATAGGAGTTACTAACAGCTGCAATGGAGGCCTTTATTGAACTGGTCGAAAGGTTACCTGTTTCGGCATGGTCGAGCCNATAAAAAAAATTTGTGCATTCGGAAACCTTTTACTCAATCCTCGTAATTTAGTTGGTTGAACAACGATACACCAAGACTGTAGAGATCAATGCTCACGAGTTGGATGATATTGGAAAACCCTTCCAACCTTCCCTCCAAATATATATATATATATATATATATATATATAATTAGTTTGTTTGATGACTTCTACCAACTACAACCCTGGAATTTATTTCCATAAAGCTATCGAAACCGTATCTCTATCTGTAGTCGTCTATGTTCTGGACTCAAAAATGGGTTTTCTGTCCAAATGCAAGTGGGATTGACAACCAGAATACAATAATCAGACCGTACATGGTGTCTAGTGCCTATGGAAATTTAACGTGTATCCTAAAACCATTTGATTTTAAATGCAGTGAGCTAAATGCGATAGAGACGCTTGTGATAACCGACAAAGAGCACTGGACAGCTATTGCGTTTTGTTTTCAGACTCATCAGCAATGTATGTGTCCCTGTCAGGACTCGAACCGTGAACAATTGGGTTGGAACTTCAAACCCTTCCCCTGAGCTACACGGTTGGGCTCAATAAATTTTACGGTAGCACGTTTGGATGAGCCTATTCGATTGTTTAGAGGCATCAAGCACTCTTGATGGTCTTGGGTGTTGGTTTCACTCCCTGGGAGATCGTTAATTTCCCACGAGGTGAATACATTCAAATGCGATGGAAATGTTTGCGATGACCGACAAACAATTGGGTGGGCTAATCCAAGCTTTTTACTCTGAAATACAGTGAGTTAAACTTCTCAAAGTCATCGAGTACAAAGTGCATGCATATGTTTCGGGAGGGCCTAGGGTGGGCACACGTGAACGATGAAATAAACAAAGTAAATCGATTTGGTCACTTGGGGCAGGTTATTATCACATTGGCCCAGGAGGGTGTGAGCGAATCGCATCACTGCTAACCACAATCGATTACGAGGTATACGAGACCTGACGACCTCAGCGAAAGGAATAAAGTCCGTCTATGATGTGAATCAGAGCGATTGGTCCATGACTGCACCCCATAAACATGGGTTATGGTTAGTGCTCTGACTGCTCGCTGTGGCTCTCGAACTTCCGAACAAGAATCGAATCACTTCGGAAATCCAGTGTAACAACCGATGAGGTTTAGGGAGAAAAAAAGATAGCAGTTACACCGGCTCGAAAGCAAATAAAACGTTGCAGGAAAGACTCACCTTGTGGGAAAAAGAAGCCTGAAATCCAGAACGATCGCGGTCGACCGCGTGTCATCCACGTGTTGATGAAATCGCATCGAAGAGCCAAATCTTTTACCCACGACGACAACGGTTTCAGACTGGGATAGGCATTATTGGCCCACATGTTCGGAACTTGGTTGTGCAAGAACGATGTGTAGATCTGTTCCAAAATTTCCGACATGACCACGAAACCTTTGATAGCCCGTTGAAGTTCTTTCATCGAGTCCTGGTTGAGCAACGGCAAATTCCAACGGAACAATTAAGATCGCGTATAATGTACCATATAATGTTCAAAAACTTTTCATCGTACAACACGAATGATACCCACAGAAAACTCCGAAGTGAAAACTTAAGGCTTCTCTAGAAGGTAACAAAAATGATTTATACATCGTAAATTTTACTGGACATAACTCACTATTAGGTAACCGACTTTTTTCTTCACAGGCTCGTTTATCCGAACTAATTTTGTACTTTTTCCGGCTCCTGATGCAACATTAACAAGTTACGCGGTTCCCCAAAGAATTGAACTCCTCTTGTCTCATCCATGACTACGTTAAGCTCAATTCCACCATGAAACTTGATTCACTATGGTACATTAAACCCCAGACACCATGGATAGTGCACCGGCTGTCGTCGGATCCGAGAATTTATGATCCCTAATGAGCACAACTCGATGGGTCTATATTAGTTCAGTCGGTGGATGAAATCCAATCCCACAGACCAAGTTATATGAATCGAATTCCAATCACTGTTCTACTTCATGTTACTTGTCCACTGGCAAACACTTGTTCTATTGATCACCATACTAACATCTAGTGTATGTATGTATGATTACAATGTACTAGCTGTTTTGTGCTCTGACCCATGGTATTTGTGAAGTATTTTATTTCTTACATCTATACACTATGGTGATGTGACGGAAATTCGCTCTGCCTACGTCAGCCTGTCCGGCATTCAGTCGCCTCCGATCAGCTGATTACATGGACAGGTTCGTATGTCCATTTCCGGCTCTATTGCATACTACGCTTCGAAATTGCCAGCCAAAATTTATTTACACAATCCATACGATCGGGTGACAAACAGACTCAAGCGAGTGGAATCTATATAAATCGCATTGTGAATACATAGACCCATTAAAAATGCACCAGTATCGGAGGAAAGGCATATATCATGAGGTGTTATTGTTTCGTCACCCGGGGAAATCACGAGGTGATCATACATTTTTTGATTATACACTTCTCAGTGATAAACAGCAGATGGGATAAACCCCATAATCACGAAGACCTTCTGTTCAGTGATGAAAACCGGTGACCTATGATCAGGAACTTGGAGCAGCCCCACTAGGTTGAGCGTGATATTGAACCGGAAGACAGCAAAGCTATCCATGACAAAAGTTGGGTGACGGTGGCGGTGCTCGACCCTCGGACCATAGGATCCAAAGCACGCCGGTGACTAAACCGTGCAGTCTCTGGGGTTAACTATCCTGGAAATACACTAAACAAATTCACAAACACACGATCGCTAACTATCTGAACCAACCGAAAGACCTTAGACAAGCGAGAGGGTGGATGCTGTTCTAGTGACAGAAACCGCTATTTCAGCTTATACAACCATTAACCAAGCGCTTCTATCACATTTAAATGCATTTCACTAGTGGGAAGTTGAAGATCTCCCGAGGTGTGTGAAACTCATACCCAAGATCGTCACCAGAAGTACCTGGCGCCTGCGAAAAACCGAATAAGCTGGTCCAAACATTCACAGTCCAAATATCAATGTGGGTATGGAGAAATCGGGTAGACTAAGGTTGCAGACACACCTGAAATGCGAACTGCGCTGAGCATTGCTATGGTGACTTATGGAAAGGTCCTGGGAAAATCAAAGAACCGCAATAAGAATGGAGACGTGGCGTCCTGATATCACGTTCAAGGAAACCCTAAATGAATGGGTAACACACCGTCTGCAGCTGACCATAAATACCAATGCTTGGGTCGATATAATTCCCAACGATCGAGTCAACTCGGCAGGAACAGTGCAGTGAAAAAGCGAATATTTGGTGGAAACTCTCAGGAGGAAGCGAATATCAAGAATTAATCGTGGATCGTCCTACCGTGTGATTGAAATCTGACTACAAAGAATCGAGTGTGTATATCGATGAAGCATTGTTGTCCAGGTATCTAAACCTTTTCGAAGTGGCCGCAATTTACCTCGTTAATTCAAATACATCCCTGATAAAAATCACCTGCTGAACATGATAGATTGGCTAATCGTTCATATGTGAGGTACTATGCTTCCCAGTACGGCAAAAGAATCTTATTACTTTAGTGCTGGCCCCGAAATAAGATAACGGTGGTGATGGTGGTGGTTTAACCAGAGAGTAAGGAAAATGTAATTGGGTCACAGAACAGGTTAGTTTTGTGAATCAAATATAGTCACGTATATTGTCCCTTTTCCAAACCACCCTCAGGCAAAATTCATGTTCCGACCAGATAAGCAATCCGGTTCAGTTTTGACCGCCTACGGACAACCCTTGACTTTGTTCTTGATAGTCTGAATTACCTTCCACCGCGCCTCGGAATGAAGCTCTTGAACTAAGACATCTTACTGTTTACCTGGATTCTAGCAATTCTACGTCTATTTATCGATAAGACTCTTTTCATTTGTCATAAGATACGTTTACCTTATATATTGCCGGTTTTTGGTTCATTTGCTCTCCATAGAGTTGCGCCACCATGTTATACGCCCATCACTTGGCAGTGGTCACCGGCTCGATTGGGTATCTCGAACGTTTGACCCCATCCAAAGGGTGTATGAGACGATTAACTGGATGACGGTCCCGAATGGATTGGGATTTTCACTAACCGCTCGGCTGCCTTACGGATCTGGATTTGGCCAGTAGAAGGCTTCGATTGTGAATGTTCCGGGAAAAGTCATCTCATTTAACCCGAATAGTTTGGTAGTATGCCACCCACTAGCTAATCATGGACCTTTCTCTTCGTTGATAGAGATAATCGTTAGTGAATGTTTTCATATTTTTATTATTTCTTGTCTATTCCGCAGTTTTCGGCGGAATCGTGTGCGGCTTAGTTCCGAGTTTACTATTGCAGACTACACTATATCGTTCACTCACTTTGACAATCTTCAGTAATTTGTTGAATCGATCCACTTCTTGTGTCATGACAGTGGTCAATGAGTCCACACGACCTTTTCGGTCTGTTTCGAAAAATTCCGGTTTTGCACTCTCCAAATTCAATCGATCCGGTAATTTGGCTAGAATGTTCTCAGCCAAATCGTATACCACATCATCGCTGGTTTTTCCAGTTTCACTGGCACCCACACGAGGTTGTACACCGAGAATTGTGGTGATTAGAGTGTTAGTTTCCTGAATCTGGATTTTGAAACATCAGTCAACATGGGTACGGATTGGTTAGAAGTGAACAAAAGTATGCATTGGTTATGTGCGTTAATACAGCCCTTAGCTCACGTTACCATGCAGCACCCCATCAGCACAAATTTTCGTAAATACAAGCCTACTACTCATCAGTAGTATACAGTTATTCCCCCCTACATAAAATGGGACTCAAATAAAACCTAGTAATAGAATGAACTGAAGCCTAACATGGGCATAATCATGCAATATGTTGTAAATAAGAGTTAATATCATTAGTAACATTTTGGATGGAAAATTCAAACCACATTCGATGTTGTACTTCACCCAAATGTTCCTATATGACATCGCCGAGCGTCGTTTTGTATGACTCTAAAAGGATTCCACATTATTAATATGCACATCGGTTATAGGGTTCACAAAACTGTCAGTGTGAGACTTACACACCTGTTTATATCCCAGTGAACACAGTGAGAGATATGCTGTCCACCGATCGGTGTAAACAGTTGATTCAGACTGCACATACACACATGTACGTGTTTTTGATTATAAACTTCGGTTTTGCATATATACTACACAAACCTGTCCTTGAATTTAATGCAGCATTCGGAACATGTTGGAACTGACCAACACGGTGTAAGATCACAAAATAAAACAAACTAGGAGAATATACACTTCTTTATTTTATAAAGATATAATCCAATTATATATTAAAAATTTCAGAAAAGTTATGATAAATATTTAAAACTGGCCGCTTTTAGAATGAACTAAGAATAATCAAACCACCATGGGGTGCCGGATCACAACGTGCACCCAGCCCTTAACTGACAATGTTATGCCGGGGATCATTGTTCATGAGTCGGATATCTGTGTTTTGAAACGCGAGATTTGGTCTTACTCTTGAGGTTTCGATCACACGCATACACACACACACACGTATGTGACTACGATCGACCAAATCCTAAGCTCGCTCGTTCCGTCTCTGCATCAGCTGCCAAGTAAAAGACATTAACCTGCAATCACTTGCATACACCCACTTATTGATGGTCTGTACGAACATTACGTTAATCACCACCTCCAACAACACCAAAAATCAAAACCAGAGTCACGGTGAACTGTGCCATATGTGAATGAAGATCAACTGAGGACGGTTCATGGAATCAGATCATCTGACTGCATATGTACAGTGTGATTGTTTTATCGTTTCACATCCTCTTCGCTCACAAACCCGTGACCTCGAATAAGTAAATTTCCTCTGACCCCACTCCACTACCGGATGTTGGTGATGCTCTTGTAACTATCTGTATTCAAGCCGCATAATGATGACACTCCTGCTGTGCACAGTGAAAGCTCACTCGTGACCGCGGACTGTGCACAGCGGGAGTGCCATTGTCACAGGGTTGAACACACGGTGGTGAGAGCGTCACAAACATTACGAACCGGTGATCAGACAGTCTCAGACAGTCAGATTGAGGGATTCCAATTTGGGCAAATCACAGAAAATGACCCAATTAAATTGTAGAGATGGTTAGAGAGTAGAAGAAATCCACACCATCCACAGGGGACGCATCAATGAATTAATCGAGACGAGCATCAGGTAAGCAATCTTAGCATACATGCTGTACTTCGTTTGATACGATTAAAACCAGATTGACGAACCCGAAAAACCCTATATACGTGTAATGGCCCATTGATGAATTTATCGAAAAAAGTTTGTTTCGCCTACCGGATTTTGGTTGCAATGAGAATTTAATTGTTTGAGATTACTGGTGAGAGGGACAAGACAATGGGAAACGACAGAGCAATCGCACTGTATAGTATCGACGTACGAATAAACCTGGTGCCAATGCAACAACAACAATAACGGATTATGGACGTTTGAGGATAAAATGCAGAATGAAATGAAGACCCAAAAATTACAGCAGATTAAGGTAACAATTTTTGTTTGTTTGTATTGCCTAACACTTCTTGATATTTTTGTGTGTTAGTTTATTGTGTTTTATGGGCACGGGATTTCAACAACAAAACCGTCGAGCATTCGCGGTGCTGACTTCTGTTCTGTGCCATACCTCTTGGTGTCGCTAACCAACGACGCGATTCGCGTAAATACTGTCCAAGCTATTCTCTAAGATGAGTACAAAATCTGATGGGATGTCCTTGGTGTGCCAAATTTTAGAGGGCAAAACTTGCGATTCTCTAATCAGCTTCGTTACACTATCTTTTCGTAGAGCTGGAAAGACCTCAAAGACTGAGCGTGCAAGACATCGCTGTTGATCGTGAATAAGCGAGTGGCCAGCTTCAAAGATCGTTTCGCTCACACATACCAGTAACTCGAATGAGGGAGAACAGCTTATGGAAATTTTTGATGACGGAAGCAAGTCTCATTTCCGATGCGCGTTGGGACAGCCGGATTTCTCGGTCTATGCGTAGGCTTACGTTAAGTTGGCGTCTCGTTACGAGTCATGCTACATTATGTTCGCTGCCGGTTGGGATTGATCGGAATGCGTTAAGACAGCATAGAAACTAAGCTGTTCAGCGAGCGTGTGTTGAAAAACGATTATTCATGCTGGTTGAGAAAACTTACCTCAGTCTAATCGTAGATGTGTAATGCGTTTGGAACGCCCACCGAAGCATATGGACAGCTGGGCTCAAACAAGCGTGTGGCTCGATTCGAGGGGAGTGCTCCATTACAATCGACAGTCTTCTATGCAACCCCGCCATTTGGGGCTTACAGCTATGTGGTCAAGTCGCGCTCATTGCTGACTCGATAAGGGTAAGCACCAACTGCAGTACCGGCAGTTGGATTGTCTGAAGTTCGCACTGGTGAGGAATAAGCAGTGGTCGGGACATACAGCCAACAATCGTTCCCCGTTCTTTGACCGACATGAATCTAGCCCAAAAGGACCTACCAGATGCACTCTGTTCGAAGTCAACCAGTTTACTGTAGCATTCATATTTCCTACTAAGATCACAATTTCATCCCGACTCACTTTAGGCAAGAGATTGTGTATTTTTGGTAGATGATGTCTTTCATTGACTGTTTGCCGAGGCAGTTGGTGGGTGGAAAAAGCCAAAGGTGGTCAAACTAAGACCTGAATCGGGGCATGAAACCCTGACCAGTAGACTCTGAGACACTGAGTAAAATGACTGAGAGTCGTAAACAGTGGCACTCATGCATCTTCTCAATTTCTTTGCAACCTTAGTCTACTGCAATTCTCCCCTGTTTCTTCGACTCCATTTTCAACTTTCCAATCTTTCTTCTAACCTTCCATCCAAATGGGCAACCAAAAGATATCAATCCAAACTGTTTCATAAACCTGTGGGTAATGGTCGCAAAAACTAAACTTTCAGGTCAAGTCAACAATTCGCTTTATTACACCATTTGGTTGTGGCAGTTGTCACCGGCTCGATTGGGTATCAAGGCGTACTGGGCACCTTGGACGTCCAAAGGGAGTATTATTCGATGAACTGGACACCGACCGTCAATGGGTTGCGCTCTCACCCACCACCTCGCTTCCGTGCGGGTCAGGCTTTGGCTAACCGAAGGCTCCGGTTGTGAGTTCTTCAAGAAAATTTACTTGTCTTGTCCTGGGCAATCTGGCAGTATTCCGCAAACATGCAAATGACGGAACGTTTTTCTTTTTCATAAAGATTATTTTACCATGATTTGTTTGGTACACAGTCTGGAGTCAGATTTGTGTGAAATATAAATATATATATATATATATACCATTTGGTGCAAATTTAGCTTCCGAATAAACCACAAAACTGAACATGCGGATAAACACAGTAAGTTTACGGAGTTAACGTTTTGGCAAATCGTGTCATGTATCTGATCTGGGTGGTTGAGGAGTTGTGGAAGAGCAGCACGCTTTTCTGCATGCTTAAATCTGTTTATACGTTGAGTGGGTCGAAGAGATGGAAATACATTCGGATAATGTGGAGTGAAGGGGGTGACAGGAGTCAGACAGTAGTACGTGAGCTAGTTTATCATAAGCTTTGGTGTGTAGGGACACAACGTGATTATGCCATGGCTGAACCAAATTGCCTGTTAGCTCCAATCGAAAGCCTTTCACCATGTCGGGACTTCCATGCAGGTTACAGGCTGACCTGCCTCATACCTATTAGGCTTGATTGATCTTCGCATCTGACTCACAATTACTTGTGAGTAGTGCGTATGTGTGGGATAATGGATATTGATTGATTTGACTGACTATCCTTTCGACTTTACATTTGTTATCGAGCGATGACAGAATGAAATGCACCATGGAGACTAAAACTTCAAGGAATAATCTTTTACCACAATAGGTAAATTGATTACAGTCAATTATTTTCAACTGTGGGAAAAGCTAGCGTAAAGTTATTCTCTCAAATACCTTCAATAGAGGAAGGTGAAGTGTAAGTTATAATTAAACTTTTCTTCTGTTAACTGTTCTCCAGCAACCCGCTTTTGAACATTGGAAAATAAAACGGTTGAAGATTTTGAAGCATTGACACATTATTTTAACACAATTGGTTGTAATCCCTCTGATCTGTCGATTTTGTGGGGGGAGGGGTTAACCATTATAGCTCTTCACATATTTCTGTCGGATCGATCACTCACGGAATAATGTAAGGTACAGGTGTGTGTGTGTGGGGGGGGAACTCAAGCCTTTGAGTAGACCAGGGGTTAGCTAGTCTGATGAATCCAACGTTTTATAGGTTCACAATATTCACGGACGGAGAGCGCCCTCTGACAGAAGAACGGTAAAACTGTTTAAACATTCGCCCGATTTCTCGAGGGCCTTTGTTTGACGGACAGTGTTGAGCGGAAACGAAATTACGACGATGAATTTCACTCTTAATGAACTTTGATGGGATTTTCATCAAAGGATTATAGTCCTTAGATTTCAACACACGTTTCTTTTTTCGACGTAAATGTTACAGAACGGGAGAATTAAGAGGATCGCATCCGATGTAGTATGTTTCCCCAAGACAGCAGAAATCAAAACAGAAGTTAAGGTAGTAAGTTAAGTGAAGACAGAAAGTAGATATGTCATGATCAGAAAATGTGGAAAAATCTGTCAAAGCAACCATGTACCTGAGTCTCATTATATTTTCGGGGTAAATTTGTCGCCTTCGAGGTTTACGGTCTCGGCAACGGGTAAAAGGTTCGTGGACTGAAAACCTTGGAGGAAAATCTCTAATAATAACGTGGTCAGAGGACACAATAGGAGAACGACAGGAAACTGAAAGCATTTTGGGATGGTTTACAAAAAATAGATCAAAGGTAGCATTCATTCTTATAGGGAAGTTTTTCGGGCGTGATATAGTTTAAAAGCTGGTGGCAAATTGGTTAAAGTCACCACAGACCGTTCAAATAGAAACGTCTATATGATCCATCAAAGCAACAGAGAAAAAATTTCAAAACTCTAAACATTCATCGGAGGGGTAGATACGGGAGATGTATAGGGTTGAGAGAATAACTGTCCGGTATCTGCTTAAGTATCTGGGTTTACATTCAAGAATGGATACGTTAATTTCTGTCAAGCACCAACTTCTCGCACAAGCAAACGATACCGATTTACATGGAGACCGCCAACTGCTTCAGAGCGCTGAGCTAAAATCGATCAGTCATCGCTGGTGTGGATGTATTGAGGACTGCCACTTCTAATGGTAAACACCCATGGACACGGATCATGCTCTGCTACGAGCGAGATTCTCTCTTCGCCTGGTAAACAACTGCAGAAAAGCTATCGAAAACGGATGTCCACAATACAGTGTCAGCGACGGTTGCAAATCAGCCTTCGAAGCGGAACTATCAGATTGCCTCCAAGCTTAGTCATCAGCTGGAGGACTCAGTAAATACTGGAGGACTCAGTAAATACTGGATGACAATCAACGAAGCGATCCAAATGTCAACCAAAATAACGTCAGATTCTGGCACACGATCAAATAAAAAGCGATGGATCTCCCCAACCTCGGTTGCACTGCTGCATACTCAGAAAGCCATTCCTTCAGATTCAAAATGTGACAAAGTGCGCAAATCCCTTGAACGCCAGCTCATCAAGAGTCTGAGGAATGACCGCGAGAAGTGGCGGATAAGAAAGTATATAGAGAGATGGAGAAGGCTGCAGCTATCGGTAATAGTCGCAATCTTTTCCGATTAATTAGGAGTACAGGACCAAGGAAAGTAGGCGTAAGTGACTTAATTAAGGAGTCCTAGGGCACACTGATTCATATTCTTGAACGATGGACAGAACATTTTAAGGCACAATTCAGCTGTCCTTCGTCGACACAAGACCTCCCTATAGCTATTTCAACTGGCCAAACACTGTCAGTTGACATCAGTCCTCCATTTGAAATGGAGGTTACTCGGGAAATAAGCTTTCTCAAAAGTTATAAGGCTTCAGACCCATACAGGCTGTCCCCACCGGCTTTTAAGGATGGGGGCCTAGCTTTGGTTTTGAAGCTAACGAAACTCCTGGGCTCAGTGTGGGAGAGGGAACATATTCCAACGGAATGACGTGAATCGGTGATCATACCGATTTACAAGAAAGGTGACAGATCCTCTTGTGGAAACCACAGAGGAACTAGTTTGATCAACATCACCTCTAAACTTCTCGCCGGTATCATACTCCATCGATTGTCAGTCGCACGTGAACGGTGCACGCGTGAGAACCAGGCTCCTTTCAGACCTGGTCGAGGTTGTATCGACTACATCGTCACTCTTCTTCAAATGCTAGAACACAGACATTCTTTTCGTAGACCCACCATTTCTATCTTCCTCGATCTGAAAGCGGCTTTCGACTCAGTCGACCGCTCTAAAATCCGGTGCTGCCTTTCGCGGAGAAGTTTATTTCAGTAATAAAATCCCTCTACAATAATAGCCGGAAACGAGTCCGAGTTTACTGCAATTCACCCGAGTTCAACACGGAAAGTGGTGTTCGACAGGGTTGCCCTCTCTCTCCGTTTTTATTTAAC